TTTAAATTTATGATAGAGCAAATAAAAGCAATAATGCAAAATTAATAGGAAACTTTATATGAGAAAGAGATTGGATTCAAATGTACTTTCTAACTCTTTCATCTTCATTAAATAAATATGATTCCAATTTGATTACTTCCATGTTCATTAAATAAGTCAACCAGATCCCTTAAAATTGAGTTCTAAAATAATTAATCCTAAACATGATTCCTCTATGATTTAAGATTAACACCTTGCATTAAGAACAACAACTCGAACAATAGTGGCTAACAAAATGAAGTTTATTCCTAGAACAAGAGATTGTTAGGTGTGTGATTCAGTTCAGGCGTTTGAAAATGTATCAAGTGAGCTCTATTTTAATATAAAACATGATTTTTAATTAATATTTAATTATTTGATATGGAACATGTTTTAATGAAATGTATTTTATCAAAGGCTAAGCATATCTTATTTTTAATTAAAAAAAAAAAGAGAAAGTGTATTTTGATTATTTGTAATGTATTTATTTTAGAGTTATGAATATTATTTACTCTGTTATATAAATTATATTTTATTCACGAGACATGATTTTATGATTATTATTTTGATTAGTATTATGAAGGTAATTTTGTGAAATGTATTTTATTTTATGATTCTTATGTTATTTGATTAAAATTTAATATTTTGATTTTAATTATATTAGGCTATTATTTATGTGATAAGAAGGGAAGGAACGACGTGAAGGTCTTTCGGTATTTGTTATTAATATTTATTTTATTAATTGAGAAAAAGGGGGTTATGAGAGGTTATTAGAGGTTACCAAGTCATTTCATGTATTCATTTCTTCCTTACTCATTTTCTTTCTACGCTTTTGAAGACCAAGGAGAACTTGAAGAAGAGAACCAACTCAATTCTGCTCATGCTTCATCTTCTGTTCATCAAGGTAAGGGGGAGTGAGAAACCTCGCTTGGAGGTGTGGGAATAATTGTTAGGTAGCATGATTGACCCCCTAATCTCTTGCCTGATGCATACTTTAGGAACAGACAAATTATCAAAGTTTTCTGTTTTAATATCTGAGTTTTCTGTTGGGTTTCTGGTTAGATGTGATGCGTGAATATGTGTTTGATTTCAAAATTAGATAAGTTTTTATATGAATTAGAGTGTTCTATGGATTCCTATATGAAACCCTATGAGAAACAATTAGGGGTATGATCTTTTGACGAGATTTGAGGTAGTTTACATAAATTTGAGTATGAATTTGTGTTCTAGGTGTTATTTGAAGTCTTTTTACTAATTGAATGCTATAATTACGTGTGTGGTTGTGAAATATGCAAGATTTTGCGAAGTTAAGTAATGCAAGTTCGCGTTGGGGCGTCGAACGCAGCTCTTAGCGTTGGGTGCAGTTTTGAAGCCAGATGCAATTTTTTTAAGCCATGCTTAATAGTTAAGCCAAGTGCAATTTTTTTAAATCAGGCACAGGAAAGTCTCGTTAGGCAGATTTCTCCGCTTTGGCGCGACATTAAATTCATCGGGCACGGCAAGTATGACGCTTCGCTTTTGGTGTGGCATTTAATGCACCGGGCATGAGTTGAGGCGCGCCAGGCGTGATCCGTATGATGTTTTACACGTTTTATGTCTTATTTGAAGGTGCAAATTGTGTAAGAATTACCTTATTGCTGTGTTAACGTAAGTGATGTGTTTTATGAGCATGATAAGGACAAGAATCTTCAAATGATGATCTAATGAGTATGACTATGAGAAATGTGAAATGTGAACAAGTGACATGAGACATGATGTGAATTACGTGCTATTGTGAATACTATGACTAGGAGAATGTGAAATGTGATGAAATGAGATAAGACATGAAATTCCAAGACAAGTAGAGTGATGAGTCCATGAAGTGTGAATGTGTGTGACATGCATCATGTGCATCTATGTGACGGGTACGATATGGAGTATACCGTTAGGGAAAGCCTTCCTTGTGTAACAACTTGGCGGAGTCCTAGGGGATAGTGCGGTTTGGATGTCTCAATTTCGCTTGTTTGTGAGCACGAGACGTAACTTGCACATTTTCGCTATCCCATACAGATCCTAGCAGTACATCCTTCTAGTTGAGAGTGTATGAGTAGCTCCCTACATGTACTCCTATACTACCTTAGGTGTGTTGTTTAGTCAGCACACCAGTGATATGAGATATGTGATTGGTGCCACATGCGTGCATTTATGAGTCAAATCCTTGACATCATTGCTTGGTAAATGAGTGTGCATGTGATATTGATTTTGTATGTGTTTTGTTTATATGTAATTTGTGCTTGTGACTTGTATTATGTTTGTTGCGTGTGTGTTGTCTAACCTTTATTTCTGCACCTGAACTTGAGTGAGATGTTTTTCACACCCTTGTTGCTCTTTGTATGTGTTTAAATTGTGTTGCAGGTGATCATCAACATAAGAATGTTGGTGATGAAGCTTAGGCTTCAGTTGGGCGTGCTCTAATAGGATATGTGATATCGAGGCATAGTTAGGACTAATTTAAGACTTTAGTTTCTTTCTTTTGTTTTTGGAAAACCTTTAACTTTATTTCTTCTGTAATTTTTGCAAGTGAACTATGATTATGTATGCGAATGTGAATCTTTTATCTCTTTGTTAATTAAAACTTATCTAATCGAGAAAGTTTTATTTATTTTAATTTTATCTTACAATTATTAAATATTATGTTGGGGTAGAGGGTATAACACCTATCCCTCAATATGGGAATAAAAATATAAAATAAAATATGATAGGATAACTTCTCTCGAGATGAATAATACTAAATAATTTTTTAAAATTTATAACGGACACAAAAATATTACATACTTATGCTTATATTTCCATAATAAAACAAACACAGTGATATTTGTCGAATGAGATCCTATGGTAATGGCACGAGAAAAACGGAATATTTCCTCCATACTTAGAAATGATGGCATAGACAGCTAATCCACCTTCCCATTGGCATCAAACCAAGACCCGCAGATTGGAACTCACTTATGCACATAGTAATAATGCACTTGAAAAATCTAAGTCACTGCACTAAAGCAACATTGACATTACACTCCACTACCAATCTTCCCTTTGATCTAATTCTATAATGTTGATGTCCTCCGCATGCAATCTTTATCACGCCGCCACTAGCGCAGCTTGCAACAAAATTCTAATCGTTAAGAAAAAGCTAGCCAACACTCCCCCCACCCAACAACATCCACTCTATCCCATGTGCTACCTAGCTTTACGCTACATACATATATACATATAGCATGGTGAATCTCTTTTCTTATAATGGACTTGCAACTAAAATAGCTAGAGGTTAATTTGCAAGTTGCAACCAAGCCAATGGATAATCTTCTCATGTAATTAGCCGACAAAACAAAAGCTAAGCGAAGAAAAAGACAAGACTTAAGCGCACTAGTATGAACTATCAACACATAACGCAGCTAGCAAGACTAATATATTAAATTTCCACGACATTTATCATTTGTGCCAATATATAGCTACAAAAAGGTATAGAAAGTGGGCCTTCGTATGTGTTTATGGGTTATTATATTGGTATATCATGTTTTCTATTCATTCTCACTTTAACCTTTTTTTTTTTTCTTTAATTTTAGTTACATTATTTGTCACCCTCACATGTATTAGTACTATCTCTTCTGTTATATCTTCTTTCTATGTTAGTCTCTTTATTTTTATTTTCTCTCTCTTCTTTCTACTTATTCTTATTCACCCCAAAAAAAAAGGGTTGTAATTGCTCTTTTTTGTCTCCCACATAAATAACTGTCATCTTAAACCGATAAGGTACTCATGCTTGGGTGCTGCACTAATAGGAAATCATTTTCAAACGAAGTCAACTCAACTGATTAATTAACATAAAGGAATTGCGGTTTCAACAATAATATAAAATGTTGAATAAGGACAGAGAGATAGTACGTACTAGAGTTATTATATGCTCTCAATAGCATTGCAGTGATAGAAAACTAGCAGGGAAATTGAGGTGGGGACAAATTGCACTTGAAGGCAAATCAAAGTTGTGTGTCTTCATTCATTATCACGATGCCTTCCTAACTTTTGCAGCCTTATGTGGCTTGGAGTTTGTTATGTGGGGACTATTGTACTACATTAGGGTCTGTGAATGGGAATACACGAGTGCTCCCACTGCATTGCGAAGGGTATAAAAGGGTGGTATTGGGTAAGTGTTATGCATCATTTGGCGTAGCCAATGCAAGACATGGGGGATATTATGAGGAGTGTGTTTGGGGTGTTGGTGGTTGTTGTGATCGTAAGTCCTTGTTTGGCTAATGTGAGAAACGATTTTCATGAGACAAGGGAAGGCGTTGTTAACTCTACCACTCGATTTTCTCAGGGAAACCGTGGTTTGGGTGGAGATGTTGGTGGAAGTGAGAGAAACTCATCGGAAATGTTATTGGGTGAAAGGAAGTTTAGTGGGGGAAATGGTGGGAGTGGAGGAGGTGGTGGTGGAGGGAATGGAAGTGGGAGTGGAAAAGGTGGACATAAAGGACGAAAAAGAGGTGGAGGAAGTGGTGGAGGAGGTGGGGGTGGAGGAGGGTCAGGTGGTGGTGGTGGTGGAGGAAATGGAGGAGGTCATGGATGGGGAGGAGGAAGTGGGAGTGGTGGAGGTGGAGGAGGAGGAGGAGGGGGTGGTGGAAGTGGGGGAGGTGGAGGAGGTGGTGGTGGTGGTGGCGGTGGAGGAGGAGGTGGTGGTGGTGAGGGTTGGGGTTGGGGTGGTGGAGGAGCTGGCAGTGTTAGATGTTGGGTGTGGGGATGTGGTAAGAAGTTAGAAAAAAAGAGTGGAATTCTTGCGTCAAACTCCAAGGGATAAAGGAATATATATATATAACGTTGTTGACTTCTTGTGGATTTGGTTATGCTTTCATGGTGTTTTCTCTAAATTTACTATACTGTTCATGATGATGATCTTCTGATTTGGACGTACGTAGTTCAAGCTTTGCAAATAAATTCTCTCAATTTTCTTTTCTTTTCTTTTTTTTTGCCGGTGGTTACATTAGAAAAAGAAATGAAAATGAAGAGTCGTGTTATACAAAGTTTTGTAATTGTGGTCTACTTCCCATAATATAAGGTGTGATTTTTGCTCGGTTATCGGGTGAAGTATGTGTTGCGTCGTCGTTACTGCTGTTACTGATTTCATGTTATAATTCCATTCGGTACCTAATAGTTTAATGATTGAATTATTTAGTTTAAAGTTTTTAATATATAAATTAAATTTGTAAATTTTAAAAAAAATTGAAAATTATTTAATATTTTATTTTATTAATTTAAATTATTAAATAATTATAAAAATATTTTATACGTTGATTTAAATTAATAAAATAAAATATCAAATAATTTTTAATTTTTTTTTAAAATTTACAGATTTTATCTATACATTAAAAATTTTAAATTCAACTATTAGATTGTTGAAATTTAATGTTAAACATGAGTTATTGAATGTTAATAAATGTAGATAAACTTATTTTTAGAGTATACAGATCTCTCCTCATACATACATATATATATATATATATATATATATATATATTATTAGACTTTTCTAAATTTTGTTACATAAAAAAATTTGGACTAATTAAGTCTTTTTTTATTAATACTTGATTTTTAGTTTTTTAATTTAAAAAATTAGAATTCTAATTGAAATTATAATAAAAAGAGAATATTTTATTTTGTAACTAAATTAATAAGTTAAATCTTTACCATTTCCTTCTTTTAAAGTCACCACCACCATTCTCAAAGTCATCATTATCTAATTTTAAAAGATATTTTCTTCCTTTTTCTACTCTCTAAATTCTGAACCATGTACATAAAAAGTGAGAACGTAAAATTTAATCAATTCCTTTTAAAACTTAATCTCTCCTTAATCTTGTTCTTAAAATATATTAACCACGATTACAAAATCTTTCCTACTTAATAAAATATTTTAATATCTTTTAATAAAATATTATATATTATATTTTAAAATATATTAAATAATTAAAACAAATATTAAACAACTTTAATTAATAAAAATAAGAAGTACTAAAATTATTAATAAAATACTTATATTATAGTTTATGAAAGATAGGATGTTACAACTCTCCTCTTCTTTTAAAAATCTCGTCCTCGAAATTACTTGAAGTAAACAAAATCGAATATATTTCCTGCATTTGACTTTCTAACTCTCACATAACACTTTCTTTAATATTTTCTCCCCAAACAACCTTGACCAAAGGAATTTCCTCACCTCTTAGTTGTTTCATCCTATTATCCTTAATCCTCAAAGGAACGGTTTCATAAGTGAGGTTATCCTTGAACTAAAGTTGTCGAACTCAACAACATGGGACGAATCATGAATGTATTTTCGAAGTTGGGAAACATGAAAAACATCAAGCAAATTAGAAAAGGATAGAGACAAAGCAATTTGGTAAGCAACATTACCAATCCTGTTAAGCATTTGATAAGGACCAATGAATCGTGGATTAAGCTTACGAGATTTAAGTGTTCTACCAACTCCAGTCCAAGGAGTTACCTTAAGGAATACATGGTCTCCCTCCTTAAACTCTAGGTCTTTACTTCTCTTATCATGATAGCTTTTCTACCTACTCTGGAATGCTCTCATTCTATCTTGGATTAGTGTCACATTCTCAATAGTTTGTTGAACTACCTCACATCCTAATATAGAATTCTCCCTAGGTTTTATCGAACACAAGGGTATTTTATATCTCCTACTCTAAGGTGCCTTATAGGGTGCCATCCCAATAATGGAATGGTGACTATTATTATAGGTAAACTCTATCAAAGGTAGATAACTATCCCAATTACCCCCATGTTCTAAGGCACATGCCCTCAACAAGACTTTTAGAGATTATATGATTCGCTCGATCTGACCATCTATTTGAGGGTGATATGCTACTCAACCTAACCTTGGTACCTAAATCCTTATGCAAGCTCAACTAAAATATAGAAGTAAACCTCGGGTCTTTATTAGAAACTATACTAGCAGGAACCTCATGCAACCTCACAATCTCACTTATCTAGGTCGACCTCTCCAAAGGGTATTGAATATTGATAGGGATAAAATGGGCAGAATTTGCTAGTCTATCCACAATAATCCAAATGGAATCTAGATTCTTTATGATTCTAGGTAACCCAATCACAAAATCCATAGAGATATTATCCCAATTTCACACTTTTATTTTTAAAGGTTGCGACTTTCCCAAAGGTTTTTGATGCTCTACCTTAGACTTTTGACACACTAGGCAACCATAGACAAACTTTTTTTATCTCCCTCTTCATCTTAGGCCACCAAAACATCTTATTAAGGTCTTGGTACATCTTAGTAGCTCCTGGTTGGATACTAAGGCTACTCTTATGACCTTCCTCATAGATCATCTTCTTAAGCTCACGCACATAAGGAACACACAACCTATCCTTAAGTCTCAAACTCCAACTCTAATCTCATTCTCTTTCCCTTGGTTCAT